TAAATGTAAACAAAACAAGTTTTCAAGTTCTCAGTGAAGTAAAAATTATCAGATTTCTCAAGCAAATATTTAGGTCAATATTATATTATATATATATATATATAGAGAGAGAGAGAGAGAGCCCTATGATTTCTGCTTTGTTTGCCAAAAATAGTTGAATTTTTCAATAATTAAAAGATAACTGAAATTAATGTTTTATGCCTTAATTTAGAAAGAATTTAATTACACAACACAAAATTTCTGAGGAAAAAACATTTCATAAGGCTATTTTAATAATACATTTGAATAAATTAAGTTGGTTTTATGCATTGAAATGATTAGAAATGCTAAAACACAGAATTAAAAAAAACGAAACATTTCATAGGGCCCCAAGCATGTAGTTTTTGTTAAACTTTTAATGAATTGATATGACATTGTGTAAGATTCATTATTTTAATTAATTAGACATGCTTTTTGATTAATAAAAAATAATTGAACCATTAAAAAGGAGTCTAGAAAAATTAAAACGGAATTTGGTAAAAAAATAAAAAGGATTTCATAGGGCCTTACATATACTGTTTATATATATATATATATATATGTGTGTGTGTAGATAGTATAGCGAGAGAGATATATTGGTAGATTATTTTTGTGTATTTTTAATATTTATATATTTAATAATATAATTAAGATTTGTTAACATATGGTTATTAAACATTGTTTTAGCATTTTGGTTATGCAATTTTATTTATTTATTTTTCTTTAAATTGTTGCATTTATCTTATTTTTTTCAGTTTAGTTTTAATAATTTTAGTACATAGCCGTGTACTTATTTCAGATTTCTAATCGTCTAATTTTTGATAAAAAGTAAAAAATGTCCCCCCCCCCCATTTTTTTTTCTCACATTTCACTATTTTTGTAAATAGTTTTGTAAATAGTTTTTGGCAACCGTAACAATGCTGGCTATTAAAGAGTTAACAGTGAATTGGATTACAAGCCGTATGAATACAAAATTAACTCTAAGTCATACAAAGCATTGATAAAGATGTCATGATGCTTTTGGGCTCTCATGCTACTCTGAAATCCTGACTTTTGTTATTGAAATCACACACGCACGTCTAGACGGTGCAGAAAGCAGACAGTGTCTGAAGGTTTGTGTTTGTGTTTGTTGCAGGTGTCTGTCTCAGCGAGGAGGACTCCCTCTGCTGCTGCATCTCAATCTCTCCGGCTGTCTGCTCATCACGGGGGCGGGGCTTCAGGAGCTGGTGTCCGTTTGCCCCTCCCTCAACATCGAGCACTTTTACTACTGCGATAACATTAACGGTAACACACTCACACATAGACAGAACGTACTCGCGCTGCTTCATACCAAGCGTCCAGCCATACAGTCTCCACGAATAAAGATCGTCCAAACTGTGCTGCGGGGTTTCTGACAAGCCAGTAATAATAAATAATGAGTAACACCTTATTTTAAGGACCAAATGCTCACTATTAACTAGTTGCTTATTGGCATGCATATTACCAGCAAATTGGCTGTTTATTAGTACTTATAAAGCATGTATTAATGCCTTATTCTGCATGAGCATATTTTAGATCCTTTAATCTTACTCCAACTACCTTACTAACTATTAAAAACCCGAAAATTGAGTTTTTTTTAAGCAAAAGTTGTAGCTAATAGTTAGTTAATAGTACAGATGTAAATGTGACCAAATAATGTTTTATTTTGAGGGTTTTGATTTAAAAATTATTTATTTTTAATATTTATTTTATAAATGAATAATAAAAATAAATAAATGTGAATCAAAATGGAACCCTATTTTGGGCTGACATTTTTTTTTATTTCAAATAATAAAAAGTTAAAATCAAAATATGTATATATATATTTTTTTATTTTACATACTAAAAAAAGAGAAAATATTTTGCTATTTTAGTATCTTTGAGATACTATTAATATTAATAATATAATATTTTATTTTTTATGTCTTGGTTCATTTTAAAATTTGAGTTTATATATATATGTATATGTAGGCTATATGTATGTGTGTGTATACAGTGGGTACGGAAAGTATTCAGACCCCCTTAAATTTTTCACTCTTTGTTATATTGCAGCCATTTGTGAAAGGAACTGATTGATGTATATTTGTAAATAATTCAATTGTCCACAGTCTCCTTTCCGATCACTTGGGATGAATTTTGAGTGCTTTAAGATGTTATTTCGACATTGTGTAGGTTTTTTTTTTGTTTTGCTTTGAGTTTTTCACCCAGGCGCATTTAGAACGTCTCAAGCTCAAATCTGACTTTACTGAACCGGTACTTTAGGTTTGATGTTAAAATCACCTTCTTTGGTTCCCCTACTCTGGACTTAAAAGTTTGTGAATAGGAAAATACTCTAGATGAGTTAATAGGCCTGAGTTCACAAGCTCATTGAGTTGTAGTTTGTCAAATGATGCAGGTGTTTTGGAAAACAACCAGAAGCTGTATTATTGTGTTTAATACCTGATGTGGGAATGACTGGATGAGTGCCGGATTTTAGTTGTCTCTTCAGCTGCATCGAGCGAAACATCATCTGTGACTAAATATCTGGCAACCGTTTCAAACTAGGAGCGTTTTCCCAGACTTCAAGCGTTGGTTGGTTAAAAAAGTGGTTTGTGAACTGTAGTAAGTCCTGGGTATGTTATACTTGTTAAAGGAACACCCCACTATTTTTGAAAATGGGCTCATTTTCCAACTCCCCTAGAGTTAAACGGTTGAGTTTTACCGTTAGCGGTAGCACTTTTAGCTGTAGCTTAGCATAGATCATTGAATCTGATTAGACCGTTAGCATCTCACTCAAAAATGACCAAAGAGTTTCTATATTTTTCCTATTTAAAACTTGACTCTTCTGTAGTTACATCGTGTACTAAGACTGACGGAAAATGAAAAGTTGCTGTTTTCTAGGCTGATATGGCTAGGAACTATACTCTCATTCCGGCGTAATAATCAAGGAACTTTGCTGCCGTTCCATGGGTGCAGCAGGTGCAATAATATTACGCAGTGCCTGAAAATAGGCTTATTGGAAGTTACCTAGCTGGGGACTATTTTCAGGTGCTGCGTAATATCATTGCATCTGCTACAATATATAATATAGGAACTCTTTGGTCATTTTTGAGCGAGATGCTAACGGTCTAATCCGATTCAATTATTTATGCTAAGCTAGAGCTAAAAGTGCTACCGCCAGACCCGGAGATTGGCTGAATGGATTGGAAAACGGTAAAACTCAGCTGCTTAATTTTAGAAATAGTGGAGTGTTCCTTTAATTCTCCATTCATTCTTCAGATTTTTTTTTTTAGATGCTGCATGATCTGTTTCTTTTGGGTTCATTAGCTGACCATTAAAAGCACCTTGAGATAACATTTGTCTGTGTTGAAGTCTTTATTGAGCATGGGGTTGTCAAGCTCCAAAAAAAGGATGAAACAACAGCATAGAAGTACTATACAAGTGTCTGTATGATGTTATATTCCAAGCCATATGATGCTTTGTATGAGGAAAAGACCCAAATTTAAGTTGTTTTGCATTTCTGCTTCTGCATATTCAAACTTGGTGGTTTGTGTTTATTTACGAGACCACCACGCGAATCTGTGGTGTTTGGTCTCGATGACCTCAAACCTGCGCAACAAGTTTGAAAATGTACATGTGTGAATGAAAGAGCTGCTCTTTGATTCGTCTCGTTTTGTGTTCTGTGGAAAAAAAAGTCATATAGACTTGGAACAACATGGGGATGAGAAAAAATTGACAAAATTGGGCAAACTTCACGAATTAAATTCCCATTAATGAAAACTTTGAAAATAGGAGTTAGCTTTTCATACATGGTTCAATGTATAACGATTTCAGTACCTTAAAATATATTCCCTAAAACGTCAAGCTACCAAAAAAAAAAATTCATATCAGATTTCATTTTTTGCACTACTGATGATGCCATTTCCCCCTATGATTTATTTAAAGATTTATTTTTATTCTGGACGATTCAAGATATGAAAATCTTCACCTTAACTTATTCAGGACTGCTGGCACCTCACTTTCCACATCTGAGATATTTGTTTCTCGTCATGTCTGTTCTTATGCGTCTTTGTTTTATACAAGTTTTGTTGTTCTTGGTTCTGTTAACTACTTGCGGTGATCCGCCTTCTTGCGGCTCACTAAATTTTGCAGTTGAGCCCTGAAAGAGCCCAAATCCTGGATAAAGAGGTTGAGTGAACCTTACACACTCGCTCTGTTTAAATCTAGATTAAAGACATCTAGCCAAGCATTCACATAATGTATCTCATAACCTTGTACTTCAGCTATATCTGCGCAAATGCACATTTTCATTCTTTTGCTTGGGTTGAACACATCATCTTTGCTTTGTTGGAACAGCAGCTATGCTAATTTCTTCTCTATTTGCTTCTCTGTATCTGCCACGGGATTTGCATCCCAAGGTACCTAGGAATTACAGAAGCTTTAGTCTGGATCCAACCCTTACGATGCCAGAGATGATGCCAACCCCCCAGAAGACCTCAGATGATGCTAACACTGGAACAACATATAAAACTACCAAATTTTGCTTAATCACAACGTTTAATTGCAACATATAATCATTGCAGTTAATAGGGTTTACTGTCTGTTTGATTACGTGTAATTTGTAACTAACTGCATGATTCTTACTGTACATTTCTGCCATAGTCACCTCTAATAACCTACTGCTAAACATAATTCAGGTAGAAACTTAACATTTTCTGCAAAGATGCTTTGCAACCTGAAACGCACTATACAAATAAACTTGAATAGGTTACTTGGGAATCTGCAGACCTTTTCACAAGAGGTTGGACACATGTAGGATTTTGTAAATCCAAAGTGCAGCTATATCTGCGCAAATGCACATTTTCATTCTTTTGCTTGGGTTGAACACATCATCTTTGCTTTGTTGGAACAGCAGCTATGCTAATTTCTTCTCTATTTGCTTCTCTGTATCTGCCACGGGATTTGCATCCCAAGGTACCTAGGAATTACAGAAGCTTTAGTCTGGATCCAACCCTTACGATGCCAGAGATGATGCCAACCCCCCAGAAGACCTCAGATGATGCTAACACTGGAACAACATATAAAACTACCAAATTTTGCTTAATCACAACGTTTAATTGCAACATATAATCATTGCAGTTAATAGGGTTTACTGTCTGTTTGATTACGTGTAATTTGTAACTAACTGCATGATTCTTACTGTACATTTCTGCCATAGTCACCTCTAATAACCTACTGCTAAACATAATTCAGGTAGAAACTTAACATTTTCTGCAAAGCTGCTTTGCAACCTGAAACGCACTATACAAATAAACTTGAATTGGTTACTTGGGAATGTGCAGACCTTTTCACAAGAGGTTGGACACATGTAGGATTTTGTAAATCCAAAGTGTTCTGTCGAGTAATACAGAGCCCCTTAGGCAGGGGTCTCCAAACTCGGCCCTGGGTTTAGCTCCAACTTACCTCAACACACCTGCCTGGAAGTTTCTAGAATGCCTGGTGTAAGACCTTGATTAGCTGGTTCAGGTGTGTTTAATTAGGGTTGGAGCTAAACTCTGCAGGACACCAGCCTTCCAGGGCCGAGTTTGGAGAGACCTTCCCTAAAGCAAGACCCTCAGGCCTTTGAAGGCCACTGTCCTGCAGAGTTTAGCCCCAACCCTAATAAAATACACCTGCCTATACATTTCGAGTAAACACTTTGGTTAGGTTTTTCAGGTGTTTGGTTAGGGTTGGAGCTAAAACTCTGTAGGACAGTGGCCCTCGAGGGCCAGATTTGCCCACCAATTTACTAAAGTGGCATGGAGATGGATATGAGATTAGAGGGAAAATTGTGTTTCAATGCTTTTTGGTACCCCTGATAAACTTCGAGGTCACTCAACAAAACTTTTGCATTTCCTTGAAATTTTACATGGAGTTTTGTGAGGGAATGCAAAGTTTCTTTGGGGGCATGCAAAACATTTGTGAGAGAATGCACAAGCATTGAAATGCAACTTTTCCTCCAATTTAATATTTTTTTTATATCATATCCCTTTAGGGTCTTCGGTGGATTCTTTACAGGTAGGAACAGATTCCATATGAAACTACTTCAACTTCAGCTCACTTACCAGCGGTACATTAAGCTATCTAAAGATGCTGAAATCCACCAGTTCTTACTGTATGTCAGTGACTGGTTGCTCTGCAACTTCTGGGAGTCGGTGGTTAACAGGTTTGTATCAATCCATCAGTGAAACAGTCTTGTTTGGGTAGGACATTAGTATGACAAACGGGTCTTATACTTTAACTAAAATTGTTTTGAAGGCAACCACTTCTGTGGACCAAATTTGTTAATCACCCATCACTTTTTACCTGCTGAGAATATCCGGGTTGTTTCCAGTCTCCAAATGTCCTTTATATGTGCTGTTAATGAGGTGAGGGACTTGATCACTTCTCCAAAAGAGAACTGTGGATTAGTTGTCAGGCTTTGGAAGTCATTAGAAGTCGGCCAGCGGGATTGGACCTCCTACAAGATTTGGAGATAATCAGGAGAGGAAAGAAGG